CGGATCCTTCTCAGGTTGTGACTAGTGGAGCGCCACAAGGATCAGTGTTTGGGGGTTCAATGTAGATTCACTGGGTTGGTTCCTGGGTTGAGGGGTTTGAGCTACGAGGGGAGGTTGAATAAACGATGCCTATATTCTCTAGAATATAGAAGAATTAGAGGTGATCTTATAGAAACCTATAAGGTGCTTAAGATCTTAACAGGGTAGATAGTGTGAGACTGTTTCCCTGGTTGGAAAATCTAAAACTAGGGGGTCGTAGTCTTAAGATTAAGGGTCAGCCTTCTCAAACAGAGTTGAGGAAACATCTCTTCACTCAGAGGCCAGAGAATTTATGGAATTCCCTACCCCAGAGGCTGTGGATACTCAGTCAGTCCTTGAACATATTCGAGACTGAGGTTGATAGATTTCTATAAGATAGAGGGAATTAAGGGATATGGGGATAAGATGGGCAGATAAATTAATAGGTTAGTAGATCAGCCATGATCTTATTAAATGGAAGGGCACAGGCTTGAGGGGCTGAATGGCCTACTCCTGCTCCTATTTCTTATGTTCCTATGTACAGCGCTTCCTTCTCTCTGCCTCCCTCACGCACACAGTCAGCACAGTCACTACACTTTACATCCTGTGATGCCTTTGGAGACGTCTTGACGACGTGATAAGTCGCTGGATCAAACGTGAGGATTATTATTGATCAAAATGATTTCCTTCCCAGGTCTTCGAAGAACTACAGAGGTTGGGGAGCAAGCCCCAGGATAATGGTGCTGTAGTGAACAGCAGGTGAGAAGGAAAGTCTGGCCCCAATATTGGGAAGAGAAGTGGGGAGGGTCTCCCAGTGTCCTGGTCAGGATTCCTCCTTGATTAAATTCACTCCCCCACAAAATATAGTCACTACACTTTACAAGACATTCTGTGAAGCGCTTTGAGACATCTCGAAGATGAAGTGAAAGACTGATTTTATCTGGGGATTGTCGGGAGGTAGAGAGAAACTGCCTTCTCTTTTCTGTGAGAGATCATTAACATCTGCTTTAACAGGACTATAATCCAACGCAAAAAAAATGCAAGGATTATCACCCCAGCCCTCGCGAGGCTCCACTGCTCCCTATCACCCCCACTAAACCCCGTCCCCCATCACCCAGCCCTCGCCAGGCTCCACTGCTCCCTATCACACACCCTAAACCCCGTCCCCCATCACCCAGCCCTCGCCAGGCCCCACTGCTCCCTATCACCCCCTAACCCCCCCCATCACCCAGCCCTCACCAGCCCCACTGCTCCCCATCACACCCTAACCCCGTCCCCATCACCCAGCCCTCGCCAGGCTCCACTGCTCCCTATCACACCCACTAAACCCCGTCCCCCATCACCCAGCCCTCGCCAGGCCCCACTGCTCCCTATCACCCCCACTAAACCCCGTCCCCCATCACCCAGCCCTCGCCAGGCTCCACTGCTCCCTATCACCCCACTAAACCCCGTCCCCCATCACCCAGCCCTCGCCAGGCTCCACTGCTCCCTATCCCCCCCCCCCCCCCCCAGCCCTCGCCACCCCACTGCTCCCTATCACACCCCTAAACCCCCCCCCCCCCCCCCCCCCCCCCCCCCCCCCCCCCATCACCCAGCCCTCGCCAGGCCCCCCCCCCCCCCCCCCCCCCCCCCCCCCCCCCCCCACTGCTCCCTATCACCCCCCCCCCCCCCCCCCCCCCCCCCCCCCCCCCCCCCCCCCCCCCCCCCCCCCTGCCCCCATCACACCCCCTAAACCCTGTCCCCATCACTCAGCCCTCGCCAGGCTCCACTGCTCCCTATCACCCCCACTAAACCCCGTCCCCCATCACCCAGCCCTCGCCAGGCCCCACTGCTCCCTAACACCAAATGGAGTCCTGTAGCTCAGTGGTTAGAGCACTCGCTTTGCAAGTGAGAGACCTGAGTTCAATTCCAGGCAGAGGGCGAAACCTTGGGCAAGTTTCCTTACTCCACACAGAGCCTAATAATAATCCCTCCAAAACCAAAAACAATAATAAATTGGTCATTTACAATCTACGACTGTTTGTGGGACATTGCTGTGCGCAATTGGCTGCCGCGTTCGCCCACAAATATACAGTCAATTCACTTTACAGTGTGTTCTGTGAAGCGCTTTGGGACGTCCTCTCCCGACGTGAAAAGCGCTATATCAAATGCAAGGATTATTATTATTATTATAAATGGATCGATTTCAAGATCCTCACATTCCTCTTCAAATCCCTTCACTCCCCGTCACCTCCCAATCTCGTCTTATCACGTCTCAAAGCGCTTCACAGGATATACCGTAAAGTGTAGTGACTGTATATTTTGTGGGAGAAAAGTGGCAGCCAATTGCACACGCGCAGCGTCCCACAAACCGCCGTGGGTTGAGTGACCACGTTTTGTTTTTCAAAGGATTATTATCCCCGGAAAAGCTATCGACTAACAACCGGGTTCCTACTTCCTGCTGGTAAAGGGAGAGGAGTAAGGAAACTTGCCTAAGGTTTTGTTCTGCCGGGAATCGAACCCGGGTCCTCTCGCTTGCGAGGCGAGGGCTCTAACCCCTGAGCTACAGGACTGCACAGGATTTGCCTGGAACGCTCTCTAAGCTGTGACCTTTGCCCTGTGTCTGGCAGCACGGTGGGTGACCTGTCGGAGGCGCTGAAGAAGGCGACGCGAGTGTCACACGAGCGGGCGGAGAACACGGACTTCATGAGCAACTTCCAGAAAGGCCAAGTGACACTGGAGCAGTTTAAGGTAAGATTCCCCACCCCCCCACCCCCCCCCCCCACACACACACACACACACACACACACACACACACACACACACCTGGAGGGACACGTCCTCCTTACCTTAATTCTGGAGAGTATTAGGCATCGGTGGGAGGTAAACTGGAAGGACCTCGTCTTCGCTTTGTTCAAAATTTCCTTCTGTTCTTATAGTCAATGCGTTCCCTGCATCAAAAAAGTCACTACATTTATTATAATAATAATAATAATAATAATCCTGGCATTTGATACAGCGCCTTATCACATCATTGAGACGTCTCAAAACGCTTCACATCATACTGTGAACTGTAGTGACTGTGTATTTTGTCGGCGAAACACGGTAGTCAATTGCGCATAGTGACGTCCCCACATATAGTCGGGGATTCAGTGACCAGATTATTACCCCCGGAAAGTGATCCCCTGATCGACTAACAACCGATTGTTACTGACTGACTGACTGCTGGGAAACAGAGACGTGTGTGTGTAATAAGGAAACTTGCTAAGGTTTTGCCCCGACCTGTCAGGTCCTCGCGCTCGCGAGGCGAGTGCTCTAACCACTACACGACAGCACTCCACTCATACTTTGTGTGTGTGTCTCTCTGTGTGTGTGTGTGTGTGTGTGTGTGTGTGTCTCTCTGACAGCTGCTGCTGGAGTCCCTGTACTGTATCTACGTGGCGCTGGAGGAGGAGATGGAGAGGAACAGAGAGCACTCGGCCCTCTCGGCCCTGTACTTCCCGGGGGAGTTACACCGAGTGTCGGCGCTGGAGGCCGACCTGCAATACCTGCACGGTGAGGGCTGGCGCGAGGCCCTGCGCTGCCCACCGGCCACCAGCGAGTACGTCAGGCGCCTGCGCCATGTGGGGAGTGAGCAGCCAGAGCTCCTGGGGGCCCACGCCTACACACGCTACATGGGGGACCTGTCGGGGGGACAGGTGCTCAGGAAATTGGCCCAGAAAGCCTTGGGCCTCCCCGCCTCAGGCCGGGGCACGGCCTTCTTTACCTTCCCCAACATCAGCAGCTCCAACGGCTTCAAACAGCTTTACCGCTCGCGCCTCGACTCCCTGGAGCTCAGCCAACAAACACGGCTCCAAATCCTGGACGAGGCCAATCGGGCCTTTCAACTCAACGTGGAGGTCAGTACAGCCGCTCTCTGTCTGTCTGTCTCTCTGTCTGTCTGTGTCTCTCACACCCACATCCACGCACAGAGAGTACTCTGTCTGTCTGTGTGCGTCTCTATCAGTGTCTCCTTCTCACACACACACACAGCCACAACCTGCTCCATTCCCACACCCGTCCCACCCCACCATTAACAGTTGTTGGCCCTTCAGTCTCTCTGCCCCCACTGTCTGGAACTTCATCTCACAGTCCTTTCACCTCATCTGCTTGGGACATCCTCCTGACATAAAAGGCACTGGGGAGTTTGTTGTTCTTGAGGTACAGGTCAGACATGATCTAATAGGCCTTTACACAGGTCTTTCCTGCAGGAGGACGGCCCAAGTCACTGGACAGACTAGGTTGGGCAACTGAGCTGGGGATGTGAGGCAACAGGGATTTGGGGAGTGGAGGGTAGAGGGACGATGACCGAAAGCGTGGTCAAAGAGGAAGCTGGGGTGTGACAATGTGGGGACGGGGAGGTTGGACATGAAATGGGCTCTAGCGCAGCCAGCCAAACCCGGACACTCTCCGTTCCGGTCGGGTGTAGTGACTGTTTTTTCCGCAGCCGTTGATAGTTTTTCCCGTTTCCCAGGTGTTTGAGGATCTGCAGCGACTGGGGCCGAGCGCACTGCGGAACGGGAGCTCAGTCCCTGAGGGGGGAGCGGAGATTCGGCAACGGACGGTCAAAAGGCCCCTCGGTAATAACCCCCACTTTCCCAGTAACACCTCCCCACCCCTCCCACCTTCTCAGTGTCAGCCTGGCTCAGTCACTCACACTCTACCTCGAGTCAGAGGTTGTGGGTTCAAGTCGGGACTTGGAATCACAGTCTAAGCTGAGGCTCCAGTGCAGCGCTGGGGGATGTTGCATTGTCAGAGACGCCGTCCTTTGGCTGAGACCTTAAACCTCACCCCCTGTCTGCCTGTTCAGGTGGATGTTAATGATCTCTCACGGTGCTGGGGAGGGGGGAAAGACAGGGAGTTTCTGTCTCTCTCTCTCTCTCTCTCGGTGTCCTGGCCAACAATCCCCCAGATAAAATTGATCGCTTGCTCCATGGCTGTTTGTGGGATGTTGCTGTGCACAAACTGGCTGCTGCCTTTCCCCCTCAAAACACTCATGAAAGTGATAAGGCATGATATTAAATAATAATAATCTTGGCATTTGATACAGTGCCTTATCACGTCATCGAGGTTTCTCAAAGCACTTCACAGAATACACTGTAAAGTGCAGTGACTGTGTATTTTGTGGGCGAAAGGCAAGGATCATTATATTATCATAATGGGCTGGAGGGGCTGAAAGGCCTCCTCCTGTTCCTATGGTGGGGGAGTGGGTAGCCCAGTTCCAGTGGGTTGCTGTGGCTGGTGCTCGCGTTCTCTCTGACTGGCTGACTCCGTGGCTAATGTTTCCCTGTTTGTTTTGCAGGAGACGAGAAAGTGAGAGAAAGTGATCGGGCCGTGACCGGAACCCCGGCCTGGCCTGTGGGTGTCGTTGTGCTCTCCGTGGCTGTGCTAGTAGCTGCCTTCCTGTGGTTCTCTTTGTGAGGTGGTGGGGGAGCAGGAAAGGGAGAGTTAATCCCCCCACTCGCCAGCCTCTCAGCGATTATAACAAGGAACATTTTATTCCTGATTTTATATTGATTGTGAGTAGATTAACGGCCTTTTAACATCATCTGAGAACAGACATTTATGCATTCCTCACCCCCTCCCCACTCTCTGCGAGCCCTGAAATCTCGCCACAAGATCCATTTTCTTTTTGGGGTCTTAAAATTCATGATTCTGGAGAAACTGTTTCCGTCCGGTTCCGAATTCAGGAAACCTTCGATTCGAGATGGATTCAGAAAAATCTTGTCCTGATTTGGAAGCTGATTTCAAGACAGAGACTGACCTTGAGAATGTTCCCCAATTCTGTGCAATCTGAAGCTCGAAGGCAAATGGGCTCCAGCCTGAGACTAGATGGACTTTCAGGCCCCGGGTGAGGCGGAACCTAACCTTGGGCCACGTTCCCTGTGGGGTCGTTGTCTGTGAGTCACTGCCACCCTCCTCTCCTCTCGGCCAAGTTTCACCCCTCCATCCCTTCTCCATCTCAATGTGGAGTCCTGTAGCTCAGTGGTTAGAGCCCTTGCCTCGCAAGCGAGAGGACCCGGGTTTGATTCCGGGCGGGGCAAAACCTTAGGCAAGTTTCCTTACTCCATTCTTACCAGCAGTCAATAGGAACCCGGTTGTTAGTCGATTGGCGGATCGCTTTTCCGGGGGGTAATAATTGCTCCAAAAAAAAGTTGTTTTAAAAAATTATTTGGTCACTTCAATCCACAACAGTTTGTGGGACACTCACTGCTGTGCGCATTTGGCTGCTGCGTTTCGCCCACAAAATATACAGTCACTCCACTTTACAGTACATTCTGTGAAGTGCTTTGAGACATCTCGAAGACGTGATAAGGAGCTGTATCAAATGCAAAGGATTATTATTATTCTCTCAATCCCACCTCATGTTGGGAGATGTTTGAGGGGAGATGGTCAGATTTCGGAGGATCAATGTTCTCAATTGGTCCATTACCTCCCAGACACCAGTAAACAGTGACTGTTACTAAACCCTCTCTCTCTACCCAAAGACTGGGTAAAACCTCAGGGAAGTGATGTCAATACCACACAGAGAGTCACATTGAGAACTATTCACCCTCTTTCAAACACTGTCTATCCAGAGAGCACTTTAATCCTTCGCTGCTGTATAAATGGGATTTGTGTAACATTAAATGGTGTATTGCAACCCTTAACCTGTTTTCAGCTGATCCAAGATTCAATAGCCTTGTGTCCACACAGTATACAGTTTGGGTCATGACATGTGCAAGCGACTGCCAGGATGATGGAAGGTAAACAGGATGGACCTTGTTTTTCTTTCGTCCAGCAAATTCTTTTGTTCTTATTTTCCAAGTAAAAGGCTTGTGTTCCATTTCTCCTTCCCAAATCGTACGTGTCAGCTTTGCTCAGTTAGTGCAGCGTTGTGGGGGGGAGAGAGAGAGAGAGGCATTGTCAGAGACGCCGTTCTTCAGGTGAGATGTTAACCCTGACTCCCGGTCTCTGCCTGACCAAGCAAATGTTCTGGGGCGCTGTGGGAACAGATTGGCTGAAGGATCTTTGCCCTGATGCTTCTCAAATCCCTCCCTGCTCTCATCCCACTCTGATCCACAGCTCAGCCATTTGTACCCTTGGCTGTGGGTGGCAGGTGTCACTGAGTTAAATGGTCGGTCCCCTTTAAGACAGATGAGCCATCGGGCTGACCGACAGGTCCATCGGCCAATTGGATGAGGACGCCCCGATGGGCAGGTGAAGAGCGAGAGGGGCCAAGGGTTGGGGGCTGCTCGGAGGACTGTCTGTGGTCCTCAGGTTCCCCTCCCAGCTGCCCTTAAAGGGGTGAAGCTGTAGATAGATTGTGGGTGGGGGCTGTGGGGTTTGTCCCCGCTAGCCCTCGTCACCCACTGCGACGCCCCTGTCTCTTAGATCTCTCCCAAAACCTCAACCTCAACTGCCCTCAACACCTTATCACACACATCCTTAACCATCCCTTGGGTGACCCTGAAGTCTACTTCCTGTGTCCATTGTCTAATGAGTCTGATGTTCTTTTGTGTGAAAGGCTCTGTGTCTGAATGCAAGTTGCGTTGGAATAAACACAGCGCTCTGCAGTTTCCGGGTGTCTTTGTGCTTTGCTGTTGACGCTCTGTGTTTACACAAAGGTCTATCAGATTCTCCTTGATCAGAACCAGCAATTTGTAAATAATAAACAGAGCGATGGACGTCTGTTTGCTTTGGGAACTTTTATTGATAGGATAGTCACCCTTTTCCTTAACTATTTTTTTGTCTGGGATATTCCCTGTGTTTCTGTGAATAAAGGAAATTAACTGAAAGCAAGGGGGTCAGGCTGGTGGCCAAAAATAAAGAAATCAATCTCTGTGCTTAAGAGTCTCCAAACCCGGCTGAGATCACCTAATCATAGAAATTCCCAGTGTCTGGAATGGAATGTGCTCTCGCTCGCTCTCTCTGGAGGGACGCCCCCTGGTTACCTAATTCCGGAGAGTATTAGGCGCAGAGAGCCAAGGCTTGGGGGGCCCAGAGTGTGCGTTGGGGTAACTGCTGGAGTCTAACCAGTTAAACCCACGTAGCTTGCTCTCTTACATCTTCCCACAACAACAGAAAATTGCACTTATATAGCGCCCTCAACACAGGGCAGCGTCTCAGAGGCTTAACAGTGGTGGGACTGATGGGACTTGAAAAAGGGTAGAGAGAGGGCAAGGCGGAGGGAGTGAGGGAGAGCGTTCCAGAGTTTCGGGGCATAGTGGCTGAAAGCGCGACCTCTGATGGTGGGGCGGAGGGGGTGAGGGACGAGCAGAAGCCGGTGCCAGTTGAGCAGAGGCACCGGGTGGTGGATTGGGGAGTGAGGAGGTTGGAGAAGGAGGGAGGGAGGGAGGTGTCAGGGAGCGAAGGGATTTGAACACAAGTGAGAGACAACAAAGTACACAACAACAAAGTACACTTACACTGGGCCAAGAGGACGTCCCAAGGCGCTAAGCTGTTCAGGGTTTGCACCCGAGCTGGGGGTTGGGATCAGAGAGGGGTGGAGGGCAGTGGGTTTGGGGCGGGCAAAGAGGAAGGTCAGGAGACCTTGAACGAACTGAGGGAGAGTGTGGGGCAGAGGGGCTCCAGTATGGAGTTCCAGATGGTGGGGGGTAAAGAGGTTGAAGTCCTGACTGTCGATGGTGGAGGGTCCGGGGGGGAAACATGGAGCAGGTCAGAGGACAAACTTTTGAATAAAAATAATAATAATAAATTTGTCACTCAATCTACGCCTATTTGTGGGACGCTGCTGTGCGCAATTGGCTGCCGCGTTTTGCCCACAAAATACAGTCGCTACACTTTACAATCAATACACTTTACAATCCTCTGACTTGTGCTCACAGACCTGGAGTCGAGAGGAAAGTTCTGAACTGGATGGAGAAACCAGAATGAAATACCACGAGAAAACAGAGAGGAATCAGGTGACAAAGGACAGCAAAACAGCACAAACAGCCCCAGCGCCGCAGACCCACCATTGCAGTTACTGCTCAAGTTCCCCTCCAACTAACGGACCCATCGCTCAGTGGATCGGGAAGTGTATCCGAGCTGTGGGCAGGAAGATGGCGGCAAAGCTCTCACACTCTCTGTCTCTCCTCATCAAACCCCGAGCTCACACCCGCACACACACACACTGAGCCTGGCTCACACCCGCACACACACACACACTGAGCCTGGCTCACACCCGCACACACACACACACACACACACACTGAGCCTGGCTCACACCCGCACACACACACACACTGAGCCTGGCTCACACCCGCACACACACACCCCCACACAACTGAGCCTGGCTCACACCCGCACACACACACACACTGAGCCTGGCTCACACCCGCACACACACACACACACTGAGCCTGGCTCACACCCGCACACACACACACACACACACACTGAGCCTGGCTCACACCCGCACACACACACACACACACACACACTGAGCCTGGCTCACACCCGCACCACACACACACACACTGAGCCTGGCTCACACCCACACACACACACACACACACACTGAGCCTGGCTCACACCCGCACACACACACACACACACACACACACACACTGAGCCTGGCTCACACCCGCACACACACACACACACACTGAGCCTGGCTGACACCCGCACACACACACACTGAGCCTGGCTCACACCCGCACACACACACACACACACTGAGCCTGGCTCACACCCGCACACACACACACACACACACACACACACACACACACTGAGCCTCGCTCACAACCGCACACACACACACACACACTGAGCCTGGCTCACACCCGCACACACACACACACACACACTGAGCCTGGCTCACACCCGCACACACATACACACACACACACTGAGCCTGGCTCACAACCGCACACACACACACACACACACACTGAGCCTGGCTCACACCCGCACACACACACACACACACACTGAGCCTGGCTCACACCCGCACACACACACACACCACACACACACCACACACACACACACACACACTGAGCCTGGCTCACACCCGCACACCACACACACACACACCACTGAGCTTGGCTCACACCTGCACACACACACACACACACACACACACTGAGCCTGGCTCACACCCGCACACACACACACACACACACACTGAGCCTGGCTCACACCCGCACACACACACACACACACACACACACTGAGCCTCGCTCACAACCGCACACCACACCACACACACACACACACACACACACTGAGCCTGGCTCAACACCCGCACACACACACACACACACACACACACACTGAGCCTCGCTCACAACCGCCCACACACACACACACACACACTGAGCCTGGCTCACACCCTCACACACACACACACACTGAGCCTGGCTCACACCCGCACACCACACACACCACACACACACACACTGAGCCTGGCTCACACCCGCACACACACACCACACACACCACTGAGCCTGGCTCACACCCTCACACACACACACACACACACAGATGCCTGGCTCAACACCTGTACACACCACACACACACTGAGCCTGGCTCCACACCCCTTTCACACACACACACCACACACACTGAGCCTCGCTCACAACCGCACACACACACACACCACACACACACTGAGCCTGGCTCACACCCGCACACACACACACACACCACTGAGCCTCGCTCACAACCGCCACACACACACACACACACACACTGACTGGCTCACACCCTCACACACACACCACACACACTGAGCCTGGCTCACACCCGCACACACACACACACACACACACACACACACACTGACTGGCTCACACCCGCACACACACACACCACCACCACTGAGCCTGGCTCACACCCTCACACACACACACACACACACACAGAGCCTGGCTCACACCTGTACACACACACACACACTGAGCCTGGCTCACACCCGCACACACACACACACACTGAGCCTGGCTCACACCCGCACACACACACACACAAACCACTGAGCCTGGGCTCACACCCGCCACACACCACACACACTGAGCCT